ATCCAGAAGTGTTGGGTGGTTAATAGATTCTTAATTCTTCCAAAGTTTTAATAAAAGGCTTTACATTAGTATTTTAAAAATTCCTTTCTAACCACACCCTAGGAGTGCTCCCTTATCATCTGGCATCATGAACCTGGGCAAAGTTGTCATTTTCATAATTATTATTGTTCCTGTTTATTTGTATCACTATTGTGCCTAGGACTAGAACCCCATTGTGTTAAGTGCTTTATAAACATGGAACAAAAAGATGGTTCCTATCCCCCAAAAGCATGAATTTTCTTATTATTTTTATGTTGTTTTTATACACACACACACACACACACACACACACATACATATATATGTATATACACATACATATATATATATACATATATTATACTTTTTTTCCCCTCCTCTTTGTCACCTGCACCAAAGTGCCTTTCCTCTATCCAGCATTTTTTACTCTGCAGAGCTAAGAAAATGGACCTTTGCTTTGCAGAATTTGCCCTTCCCTGTGTTAGGTTTATCCTGCCTGGAGCTGGAGCTGGAGATGGGAATAAACATTCTCTCAAGGTGTGTGTGTGTGTAGGCAGGTCCCTCCTGATGTACAATACAATATGTTGGTCAGTTACGGAGCACATATTCTGTAATCACTGGTGTGAAGGCTGTGAAAATGTCAGTGAGCCCTGTCTGCTAACTCACCCCTAGCTCAGTTGCTCCATTTCTTTCACTATCCCCCCAAGAGTTACTCTCTCAACCACACTAAAGATTCTGCAGTAATTTTGAGCCTGCAAACACATCTGTAGGTTTACACCTACAGGAGAAATGTAGACGCTGCTGGGATGAAGAGCAGCAGCCAATTATCATCCAGCACCCTCATGTTTTGTGATGTCACTTGGGCTGAAAGACAGCAAAGTAAAACCCGGAGTAAGAGAGAAACTCTAAAAAACATCAAACAAAAAGCTTAAAAAAAAACAACCTGAGACTGAACGAATGCACCTAGTGCCATGCCCTGGGACCCATTAGAGCTGCGCTCAGGAAAAGTGTTGAAGGAACCACATTTGGGAGGGCAGGTGTTCAGCTAGGAATATCCTGCCACCACCTCCAGAATTCAGCCCTGGGTAGGGTTACCATACTTCCAGTTCCAAAAAAGAGGACACCAGCCAGGGAGGACACCTCACTCCCAACCCACAGCCCCCTGCCCCTGCCAGTGCCCCTCACCCCCACCCTGCAGCCCCCCGTCCCTGCTGCTGCCCCTCACTCCTGACCCGCAGACCCCTGGCCCTGCCGGTGCCCCTCACTCCTGACCTGCAGCCCCCCTACTCCCTCCAGCTGCCCCCATTCGAACTGGGTCAAAACGCAGCAGCTACAGTGGCTCTGGCTCGTGCGGGCAGCAGTGGAGTGAGTCTGCTCCTAGCACGGGCTGAAGGTAGGATGAGATGATACCTGTAACACCCCCTGCCCCAGGCTGGGGCTTCTGCACTGCGCCAGGCGGGCTATCTATGCATCCTGGCCCCCGGGCAGTGTTTCCCAGGTGCCCTGCTCCCGCAAGCATGGGTACCTGCCCTGGTGCCACTAGCCCATCCGTGCAGCTCCCTGCTGCCCCCAAAGGACCCCCCCACCCCTTCCCCTGTTGAAGGGTCAGGTGTCTCCCTCCTGCCCCTGTGCCCTGCTGCACCCTTTGCACCCCCCCACAGTCATGAAGCCTTGGCTCTCCAACCCCTGTCCTCACAGGCTTGCCTACATCCAGCTGCTGAAGCTGCTCCCACCCCCTGCCTGGCTGCGTGCCAGCCACAGATGCACCTGGTGACCCTGCCTCCAGTCACCCTCCAGTTACCAGTGGAGCGGAGCAGAGAGGAGCAAAATCCCAGATATTCAATTACATTTAGAAAAACTGCCTGGACAGAGATCGGAGGACCCAAAAAGAGGACATGTATGGGAAAACCCAGACATATGGTAACCCTAGTCCTGGGGAACAACAGAGCTAAATTCCACAGCTGCATTGCACAGATACAGTGGGTAAGAAGCAGTCTCTGACATAATCAGATGCCAAGTCATCCAGTGATGCAATGCTCACTGGGCAGAGAGAGATAAGGGGCTGTGTTAGACACAGGAAAGAGGCAGCTTATCCACTAACTGGTGCATCTCTCCCTGGCTGTCCAGCCAAGGGGAAGGGCAGCTCGTGATTCTCTACCCTTAGCTTTTGGGGCCCCCTGCTGGATAGTCTCATCAGCTGCAGCCTCGGCAGGAAGCTGTGCTTGGAAAGTTGCTGCCCTGAGATTGTAAGCACACAGATCAGTGGTTCTCATCCTTCTTGGACCAGGGGTGCCCACCTCTGGTCTGCAGGCCAAATGCAGCCTGAAGAGCCAATGCACCTGGCCTGTGGAGCTCCCCACAGATCAGAAAATTTGGTGGTGGGGGAGCAGTGGCCATCCTCTCCTCCTGCCATATTCCCAAACACCAAGCCCATGTGCCCGTCACAGCCAGGCCAGGTCACCTTGCCCCTGAGGGGGAACAAGGCCATGCTCCTTTCCCCTTCAGCCCTGTGAAGCCCCTTCCCCGCTGCCTGGCTGGGACCAGGCCAGGCTGTTGCCCAACCTCCTCCACGTGGCCAGAGGTCGCCAATGCATTGACCCTGGACTCTGGATCGGAAGCGTTATCTGGCCCGTAGTTGGACCAGGTGCTGCCAATTGGGCCCACCGGGGAAAAAGGTTGAGCACTGCTGAAGGCACCCCTCATTAGGCTCAAGACAACCAGAAAGTGGCAGCTCTTGGCATTCACTCCTTTCTTTGGGATTGGAAAAGAGGGAGCAGACACATTCTTGCAGGAAAGGGGCATCAGGAGTTATTGAGCTCGGGAGGCCTCAGAATCAGCACTTCCTAAACCTTAAATGCTGGAGGCTGCAAGTGAGAGAGGAACAGGGGAGAAAACCCTGGTCAGGCCCAGGTCCCGCTCCCTTCCACTGTCTGCTGTCTGCCCCCGTGTGACACAGGGTACTGGGCCAGCCAGCCCTGGGGCCTGACCCGGTCCCTGATGTTTGTCATCATGACGACAAAACAATAGAGCGATTCTGCTGCTGCAGAGACCGGGATTCTGCTGCCTGAGAGCACTGCTGATGCCTGGGATTCCCATGGGAATCATGTCTAAGCACCTGCAGACCCTAACTGTGCTAACAGCGGGCTCAGCTCGCGGCACCCTTCAAAGGATCTCTGGGCACCCCTGGGCACCACGGCTCCTGGATGAGACTTGCTGGCACAGAGCGAGCGGCCAGGCTCATGGGGTGGGGGTGATGCCAACCTGGGAGCACTGGGATGGGCCCACAGATGTGCTCACAGATGCCCCCTCAATCAAGAATATAACGTGTGAAGAGACTGGACAAACAGGAGGACGATTTGGGTGGAGGCAGAGGGGTCTGAGGGGTCTTTTATGAAACTGTGACATTCTCAAGGGAATGGTGGTGGGTGCGCGGGCAAACTTTGTAATGGGACAAAAATAATGTAACTGTTGAAAGTAGGGTGCCAACTCTGTTTGAATCTATCCTGGGAGGTTTAATCACATGATGTAATGACATTAACGACGGATCTACTGACTGTACTCGGGAAGGTAAACGCACATGATTATTACATTTTAAAAACGCACTGGACTACTGTATAAATCGGATGCAACATTTCATATTGATTTTAATGAATGCCCTATCTATCATGCATCTCCCGGGTGACTCTCGGCAGTCTCCTGGAGCTTGTATCTCATTCCTGGGGACTCCAGGGCAATCCTGGGGGGTCGGCAAGCCTAGTTAAAAGTGTGTTTTTGGTCTCTCAAGTGAACCACAGCAGTCACATGACAGCTTGTCAGAGGCAGTTATCTATGTTTAGTTATATACAGTTATATACACACACACACACACACACATATATATATAGTTATATATATATGTATAGTTTAAATACAGTTTTATATATATATATAGTTATATACAGCTTATTTATATATATA